GGTGACAGACAAACCAACCGACAGAAAAGCCTCCCTGCCTGGCCCCCAGCTGAGCGGAGAAACGTCCCCCTGGCGCCAGAGCACTGCAGGGCCCAGCCTAGTCGCTTTGTGCGCTCCAGCCCCACGGCGTGGGGAGGGGGCGACGGTGGAGGAGCCCCACGCACCCAGGCCTTAGGTTCCCCACCCGCCTTCTAAGCACTGAGCATTTTAGGCCTGGCTGGACTAGAGAAGGGGGCACCAGGGGAGTTGCCGCTGAAGGCGCGCGGCCGCGCACAAACACCCCTCTGCCGCCCACCTCCCTTGCGGAGCCTTGCAGCGGCACTCGCCTTCCTGCTGGCCGGGGAATGGCGCGGTTGTTTTCCTGATCTGGTGGAGGGCGGCTGCCCCGTTGTGTCCCTGCTGGGGCAGCCTCGCCCCACCTCCAGCTGCGATTGGGGCTTCTGTTTGTTTCTGTTCATACAGTTTGCTGCAGTTTTCCATCCCGGAGGACCTGCGTGAAGGTGGTCCGACCAGAGATACGGGGATCGATTTTTAAGAGTAAGAGGTTTTGTTTTTAAAGCAGGGGTGAGGAACCTAATACCCCAGCTCACGTGAGTGTGGCCCTCGAGACTCAAGGTTCCCACACTAACGCTCTAGCTCCCCTCCAGATTGGTGATAGAAATGTAGCCGTGTTAGTCTGGGGTAGTTGAAGCAAAATGCAGGACAATGTAGCACTTTAAAGACTAACAAGATGGTTTATTAGATGATGAGCTTTCGTGGGCCAGACCCACTTCCTCAGATCAAATAGTGGAAGAAAGTAGTCACAACCATATATACCAAAGGATACAATTAAAAAAATGAACAAATATGAATTTGTTGATCTTAATGGATTGTTCACTTTCAGTCCTTTGGGTACGATGTCCATTTTCTTGCACTTGGATAGAAAGATGATGTCTGTCTGTATCTGTGCGAGTTTCTTCGTATGGTTGATGGATTTCCATTCCAAACGGCTAAATGTAGTGCCTTGCATGTAGAATAGTGATCCTCATACGATGAGGTTTACCTAGTTCGAACTAAGCGCTCCGCTAGTTCGAATTAAGTTCGAACTAGCGGAGCGCTAGTGTAGCACCTATCAAAGTTAATTCGAACTAACGTCCATTACTTTGAATTAACTTTGTAGTGTAGATATACCCAGGGATAACTATGTGTACTAGGATGGCCTAGTACATGCATCTGATGAAGTGGGTCTTTGCCCACGAAAGCTTATGCTCCAACACTTCGGTTAGTCTATAAGGTGTCACAGGACTCCTCGCCGCTTTTGCAGATTCTGATTAACACGGCTACCCCTCTGATACCTTCTACCAAGAAAGTAGATCACATTATGAAACAGGTCATCCAAAATCCCCTGAGAGAACCAGCTTTAAAACAGAAATAAAACACCCTGACTTAATACCTTTAGTTGTCACCTACCACCCCACTCTGGCCCTTCTCTGGCCCATCAAATTATTACAACCCATAGTCAATAAGGATCACACTCTGAAAACAATCTTTCCTAAACTCCTTTTCTGGCCTTCAAGCACTCCCCCACAACTTCTTCAGGTGCATCATCAGAAGCAAGCGCCTCATAGACTGGGACACACCAACTCAAAGCAGCACCAGGCCTTGGCAGAACAACAGATACAAACTTTGTAGACATATCTCCTCGCTACGATGCTCAACACAACCTCACAACATACTTTTCAAGATCTATGGATCCTACACATGCCTATAAAATAATGTGACTATCTCCTACAGAGTATTAATGCCCCAATAACAACTATGTGGGTGAGGAGAGACAATTACTATGCTCTTGAATGAACTCACACAGAAAAATGATAAAAGGAAAAAACACCGTATCACCTGTGGGTGAACACTTCATAAAAAAAACTTAAAAAACAATGAATGGTCCTTTAGCACCTTAGGGTATCTCTACACTGCCATCCTAGTTCGAACTAGAGTGGCTAATGTAGGCATTCGAAATTGCAAATGAAACCCGGGATTTAAATATCCCGGGCTTCATTTGCATGTTCCCGGGCGCCGCCATTTCATTTTTAAATGCCCTGTAGTTCGAACTAACTGCCTACGGCTACATGCGGCAGGGACCCGGTAGTTCGAGTTAAAGCTCCTAATTCGAACTACAGTTAAACCTCGTTGCAGGAGGAATAACGGTAGTTCGAATTAGGAGCTTTAATTCGAACTACCGGGTCCCTGTCGCATGTAGCCGCAAGCAGTTAGTCCGGACTACGGGGCATTTAAAAATGACGCCTGCCCAGGAACATGCAAATGAAGCCCGGGATATTTAAATCCCGGGTTTCATTTGCAATTTCGAATGCCTACATTAGCCACTCTAGTTCGAACTAGGATGGCAGTGTAGAGATACCCTAAGGTGCTAAAGGACCATTCATTGTTTTTTAAGTTTTTTTTATGAAGTGTTCACCCACAGGTGATACGGTGTTTTTTCCTTTTATCATTTTTCTGTGTGAGTTCATTCAAGAGCATGGTACTACAAGATCCTTGTGGTTTTAAAAGTTTTTTTTAGTTGCAGATTAACATGGCTACCCCTCTGAGACTTTTCACCAAGCAGTCACTCTGTAGCTGACCTTTCAGTCCTCATTCTCCAAGGAAACTTGCATAACGAGACACTCCTGAGATCTTACATTCAAAGCTTGGCTGGATTGTAAAAATCAAAGACTGAATAGAGGCACAGGATTTATGATTTATTACACCAACCATAGCTCACTTAAATCCTCTCTGTTCCCAATTTTCCCTCCACCATGACTGAAGAGATAGTAATGTCCCTTGAAATATGTGCTAACTACTTATGCTAAACAATCTGTTCCACCTTGTATTAGTAGAGACACTCTGAAGAACATTTTTCAGTCCTAAAGAAGAGTTCTGTGTAATCTCAAAAGCTTATGTCTCTCACCCCCAGAAGTTGGTCTAAAAAAAGATATTACTTCAGCCACCTTGTTTCTCTAATATCCTGGGACCAATACAGCTAAAACAAGATTATATAATATAGTGAGGAATGATATATTTTAGAGTTAACTTATCTATCTTGTGGGAAGAGGAAAAACTTGAATGTCTAAAAAATGTAAGGTCAGCAATAGAAGTTGGATGATTGCCTGCAGCATGGGGCTCTGGTGCATGTAAATGAGAATAAGAAGAAACATGCTGGGTCTTAACTGGCTGGCTGTTGTCGAGAGAGGAGAAAATTGTACATTATAAAACTGCAGTTTACAGTTTTGAGAATTCCAAATCTCACATAAAGTATGCTATAAAATAACAACAGTGACTACATTATATTTTAAATAAAACCCCTTGTTTCCCCCCCCCCCCACTCTTGTTATTCGGGTTACTCTTTTCTTTTCTAGGCCTCCTTCAAGAATAAGGAGTTGTAATTACTTTTGAACAAATGCTGTGTTAGAGCCAAACACAGATTTTGTTTTTTTTTGCATAAACAGGGTCTAAGTTACCACTGAAGAGTATATTCTCCTAAGCTAAAATACATAGTAAGGAGTCCAGGGGAAAGAATCTGCCACAGAGGTTTCTCTCTCTGTTTCTTCTAAACCCCTCTATCAGGAGAGTAGGATTTGGTCTCCTATTGAAGAAGCAAATGGCATGGCTCCCAGCACTGTGGATCTTGAAGGATCTGCCAAGAGCCATGAAAGCCTCACATGTCTAACTTGGCTCCAAGGCTCTCCAAGGCTATAGTTGTTTCCTGCTCCCAGCAACTTGACATCTTTGAAGCTACCTTGCCAGAGCTTTTGTTAGCAGCTATACCTTAGAACACAATGTAAGGGGTCCTCTCTATTACAGCTGTTATACATGTGTGGTTTTGATGGATAATGCAATGTTCATACATTCAGAATTTACTTTGGAAAACTTTTACTCTAATTTTTTAAATTTTCCCTCAAGTTTAATCAACCTGAGTCAAAATATTTCCATTTGCCAAACCATATTGAAACATTTTGTATTGGATCAGTTCAACATAAATCTGTGCATGCTTCAGCTGCAGCCAAGCCTCGTTGAGTTGTAGTTTGAGTGCCCTATGCTTCCATTCTCTTTCATGGGCTGGACTATATCTCCCATGATGCACCACAATTTCCCCCACTGGGTCAACAACCATGGTGCAGCATAGGAGTCATCTGCTTATGTGTGTCTTGGGAAACACAATCTATCTGGGAAACCTACCAACCTGATACAAAACATCTGAAGTCAGTTCAACAATCAAAAATGAAGTTTTGATTTCAAAACTGAAATGTTCAAAATTGTAATTTTTTTTCAACTTTCCATTCCATGAAAAATGTCAATATTTTATTTTTTGTGTTGATTCAGATACAAAGAATTTTTACAATATTAGAATTTCCCACAAGATGGAAATTTTGATTTGCAACCCACTTAATTCTACCTGGAGAAGGGCTACAGAATGAGAAATTCAATGCTGCTCTATATTACCTTTATGGCGGAAGTCCTTCCAGACCCTGGACAATTTGTATATCCCTGGGCCAGACCCTCCAGTGTCTGAGTCAAAGACTGATGGGTGCTGAAGGCAAAAGATCACTACATAGCCCTTTAGTAGGGCATGTTGGGGACAGGGCCACCATCAAAATTATGTGGATCCAATGACGCACAAATCCTACACAACTGCAGAGGAGGCATGGCGTGAAATAATGAATATGACAGGTCTGAATTGCAACTCCATGGCTTATTCACAAGTAAGATGGTTGAATTCCAAACTCCTACAGAGATCCCTTCACAAACCCCAAATACTACATTGTGCTTACTTAGACTAAAGCCCTACTACAGTGATGAAACTGTTTTTGAAATGTATCAAATTCATCATTACAAAGTATTCTACAAAATTGGCCAGAATATTTTAAAGATATTGTAACTTCACTACTAAATATCTGTGCAGGGGGTGTGCATTACTAAGATAAAGTATCTACAGAAGAAACATATTGATTTTATAGTGTTTTTACCATATCTGAGACAGTGGTTCCAGAAATATCAATAGACATCAGTGAGGTCATGTATCCCAGTGCCTCAATCCCACCATCAGTCACGCTTTCACAGTACCGTATATTCAGGTAGGTCAAATTATGGCACCTAAATTAAAACACAGAAATGTGAGTTTTTCATTCATTATGGAAATGTATTACGTTATATACAATTTTGTAATACCTTTGGCTGGGATTTTTAAGATAGACTAAGAAATCAGGCACCCAGTTCCTACTGTGTCTCAGTAGGATTTGGGTATATGACTTGCTGAAAAATACAAAATTATATATGCACTACAAAAGTTAGAAACCAACAAATACTATAACCAAAATATGAGGAACAAACAATAATCAAACACCACACAAAATCAGAAACTTGGACAACAATTTATCCTCCTGTAGGACCTTGCTTATATGCGCAAGTAAGAAATAGGGCCCAGTTCTGCAAACACTTATGCCAGGAATAGTGCTCAATACTGTAAATAGCTATTTTCGTCAATGGGGCTACTTATAGTTCTAAACTTTACACACAGAGAATTCTTGAAGGTGAAATTTAATTGTAGAATACATTGCAAGTTTGGATAGTCTGCCTTCTTTTTGAAGGTCTTCCCTGAGTTAAGTATTCACGATCATGAGCCACTCCAGCCAGTGGCAATAAGATCATGTAATCATAGCCTCAAACTATCTGAATTCTATAGAATATTTACTGTTCTTCATAGTGTAGGTTTGTAATTAAACATTGATCCTATGAAAGGGTTAAACAACCAAAAATATCTGTTTCTAAACAAATTCTTAAATAGCACTGTAGCCAAGTTTTCCTCATATTCTGAGCTTGAGAACTGCATGTCACTTCTTTTCTGGAAAAAATAATTCTGTATACTTTAAAACACATTAACTGATAATAATCCAATAAATCCTTTTTAAAAATAAAACTATGTTGTATTAGACTCCCTCTTTGCTGGGTAGATGTATTACAAGAGAGAAAAGTATTAAGAGCTTCTTCCTCACATCCAGTCAGCAAATAGGAACCCTTCTCCTGCCCAAAAGAAATAGAGGTGCATCTAGCTAGCTCACACCCCACTTCCTCAAAGGAGTCTTGTCTGCCACTACTTTCTCCAGCCTGCTAAAGCAAATTATGAATGCTGCTCCTGCTCAGAGGAGTAATTAACAGTAGCTTGCATTAAGCCATCTTGTTCTGAAACCACAAGATGACCTTTTGGCTAGGTATACAGCCAGCATTCCTCCTGTCTCCCTCCCAATGTTCCTAATGAAAGTTCTATTTATAGTAATTTGGAGTGGTTTTGCCATGCAGCTCTCATTTGTTTTTGCAGCAATCATGGTTATGCATATTTGTTAAGAAAATGTAGCTTTGAAATGCTAACAATTAAAGACAGCTCTGTCACCTGGCAAGAAGCTTTTAAGCAGTTTTACTTTCCTGAACTACACTTTCCAGTTTTTTGAATTAGTAGAGATGAACACTTATTCATAGTGGTCATTCTCATAGATTTTTAAAGCCAGAAGGTACCTTTAGTTTAGTCTGATCTTCTGTGTAACACCAGATATAGAATTTCACCAAGTTACACTTGCGTTGAGCCCTATAACTTGCCAAATTAATTTCTTAAAAAATAATATATTAAGAGAATAATTACTAATTACCACCAGGTCACTACCAGTAGTTCAATAATACAGTACCTCTGGGCTATTTTCATGAGAGAGGCATCAGTGATATGGATACAATTAGTCAAGTTCAGTTCTCTTAGCTTTGCCCCTGAAGATCCTTCTAAAAATGGCCGTAAACCTGCATCACTGATTCTAAAATACAAATACAAAAACATATTCTTACACACACATTTTTATAATCTATATGATTCAATATATAATTTGCATCTGATGACCGGCATGGAAGATAAACAGTGACTGAAATTGGTAGTTGCCCACCATCATTTATTTTAGCCATATTTGAATAAATAGCCGGAAGAAGAATTTGATATTTGGGCTTATGACAAAGAAGTTCTCTAATGGCACATGTGCACTGGAAAAATACATGAGTTGATACAGCATTACCTATATTAGCAATAGTCCTCGAGCAACAGTCCCAAAATACCGCTATTTCGGCAACAATGACAACTCTAAACTTTGCTGCCCAGGCACCACAAAGACTGGAAGCCTGTCCCTCTTCCCCTCGAAGGACACACGCATATCTTTGAAGTGCCTCTCTTCTGGCTATCCCCACAGGCAAGCACGTCTAAGCACATCTATGTGACCATACAAATATGGTTCTACACAAAACTCCATATAAACTCAAGCTGTTGCCTAGTCCAGGAAAGAAGACCTGGATTTCCTCAGCCTGTGAACAGAAAGAATAGTGAATGAACAATTTCAGAATAACTGCAGAAATAAAGATGCAAAATCTGTGTCATCATATGTATATTCAATTTCATATGCAACTGTGGTGCCTTCTTCATGGTATTGTCTTAATGCTGCCACACTCATCTTCCAAGAGGGTACTTCTAAAACAAAGCACTTGCTTCTCCCAAGGCTGTCAATATGTCTGATCTTCTTTCAATGAGCCCACTTGATAGATCTTATTATCCTTGGATCAGGCTTCCATCCCCTCTCCAACTGTTGTAGCTGCTTGGAGGTGCTTGTCTTCCATGCCTTATCTATTCACACCTCATTCATTCAACAGGGCAATCAATTAAGTAAAAGGGGAGAGATCTATTCTGGTACAAAGGCATGACTATAATATTATACCAAAATGTACCGTATTTTCCGGCGTATAAGGCGACTGGGCGTATAAGACGACCCCCTAATTTTCTAGTTAAAAGATAGGTTTTCGTCTTATACTCGCCGTATAAGACTACCCCCCCTTAAGAGGCCAACCAGCAGCGCCCCAGCGCCCCTCCGCCTCCCCGGCTTTGCTCCCGGTGTCCCTGGTCTGCTGGAGACGGTCCCCAGCGGCGGGGTCCCGCGCCTCTGAGGCTTTGCCAGAGCAAAGCCTCAGAGGCATGGCACCCCGCTGCCGCTGCCGCTTTGCTCCCCGTGTCCCTGGTCTGCTGGAGGGGCCCCCCCCCCAGCAGACCAGGCTTTTGTTGTGGACCCTGGGGCAGAGCAGCTGGGGCGCTGCCAGTTGGTCTCTTAACGGGGGGTAGTCTTATACGGCGAGAATAGGCGAAAACCTATGTTTTAACTAGAAAATTTGGGTGTCATCTTATACGCCCAGTCGCCTTATATGCCAGAATATATGGTAATGTGAATAGAATCCTTTGCCCCAAAATTCGTCAGAAACGGCCTCTATTGCTCCAAGTTCTAGTAGGTGTTGTACCTCCTGTTGGAGCAGTGTCTCATGGGAACGGTCCCTGAAGAGGGATGGGGAGGTAGGGGAGGTTGGAGGTAATTTAGTGACTGGTATGGTGTACCCTGATGTTATTATTTCTAAAACCCAGCAGTCTGTCGTGATGGTATTCCATCGGTGTCAAAAGGGTTGTAAATGGTGATGGAAAATTGGACAGGGGTGTGATGGCTGAGGGGAGATTGGTAGGTTTTGCGGGCCCTTGACTAAGAGGTCAAACCTGCTGCTTGTTGGCTTGACTGTTGGTGTTGCAGTTGTTCTGTGGTCGCTTTCTCTGTGGACGCTGTCTCGGTTTTGACTGATCAAATCCCCACTGGCTATATGTTTGGTATCTGAACTCTCATTGCTTTTTATATGGGGTGTAGCGCTTGCGGCAACATGGTGGTGTGTACTTCCCCAATGTACGTAGAGTCATCCTTGAGTCCTTACTTGAGTGGAGTACATCATCCATCTATTCAGCTAATAGCTTCAATTTGTCAAAGGGGAGATCTTCTACCTTCAACTGTAACTCGCAGGGAACGCCTGCTGACTGTAGCCAAGATGTCCGTCGCATGACTACAGATGTGGCCATAGCTCTGGCCGCTGTGTCAGCTACGTCTAAAGCTATTTGCAAGGCTGTTCTGGAGGATGCATAGCCTTCTTGAACAATGGACTTTAGTATCGGAAGTTTCTCATCTGGAAGGTGTTCCATTAATGCTGATAATTTTGAGTAATTATCCAAGTTATGGTTGGATAGTAATGCTGAATAGTTAGCTATTCTCAAGAGGAGTGTAGCGGAGGAGTATAGTTTCCTTCCAAAAAGATCCATGCGCTTGTTCTCGTTATTATTGAGTCTGTGTTGCGGGAGTTTAGATCTTTGCTGTGTACATCCATAACTAGTGAGTTGGGCTGCAGGTACATGAAAAGAAATCAGTGCCTTTCTGCGGAACGAAATATCTTTTATCCACTCTCTTATTTGTTCAGGCACCGAGGCTGGGGTCTGCCATATATAGTCCGCAGACTCCATAATAGCTTTGTCTTTTGGTATTGCAACTCTACCTCTCTGGGAGGGTTTTTTGAGAAGTTTATGCTGTTTCTCTGGCATCTTGGACAGCTGGATACCATGGGATTGGGCTACTCTCTCAAAAAGATCCTGAAATTGCCTGAGATCATCAGATAGCGACTGATCTCCTGGTATGACGGCCTCATCAGGCAATGAGGAGGACTTGTCTGTTGGGGAAGCATCCTGAGGTGGTTGTTCTGGGTCTGAGAGTTGTCCTTTTTCTGGCTCTGAGTAATGAGATGTAGAAGGAACACTGGGTAGTGTTGGGACCTGGTGTTGCTTCCGGGCTTGTTGTGGTGAAGCTGAGGTTGCTCTAGCATTTGAATAGTTCGTGCAGGAGGAGTGTCTGTGATCCACGTGATGTCGGTGATCGTCGTCATGGCGAGAGTAGTGTCTGTGGTAAGTTGGGGTATACATTCTATGTGAGGAAGGATATCTGTAGTACACTCTGTGACCATATGAGCATGTGGGTCATGGAGAGGCCCTTGATGAGGGAGGAGGAGAGTAGTCATATGCCCCATATGGCAATGGAGAGGCCTCATATCTGGACCTGTAATACCTCGTGTGTCTATATTCTCTGTCCCTGTCTTTTCTTGTTAAGTAGGGTGAATGTGGTGAGGATGCTGTTGGGGAAAAGGTCAAGGGCTCCGGGCTTAGTTGTTCAGGATGATTCTGCCTTTTGGCCATTCCCCTTGGTGTGGGTAGTGTCCGAGGGCTTTATGGAACCGGAGAATGTCCTGATGGTGTAGCTGATAATTGTGGCACCGAGCCCCTCCGTGCCGATAGTGCTGGTTCCGGGTGTGAGATGGTCGGTGCCGGCACAGTCGATGCCGAATGCTCTCTCATGGCTGAGTTCAGCGCAGACTCCAACGGTGCCGACGTCAATAGTGCTGACTCTGGCGGTGCTGGCACGGGCAGTGCCATAGTGTTTGGTGCAGACCTGTGTGTCACTGTCGGTGCCAAGCCCTGTTCAGTGCTCGGTGTGGTCACCAGCATTGCCGAGTAATGAACCGTTATAGCGGTTGGCGGCACCAAGGACAGTTTTTGCTGTGGCTTTGGCTCTGAAGCCAATTTCTGCCTGTGCCCAAGTGTACCCCAGGTGCCGGGTTTGTCTCCTACGCTCACTCTGGGTGGAGGTAGGAACCGAGCTGGTCTCTTTCAGTCTAGGGCTCGCATAAGTGAGCCGGCCTGCCGTTTCTCAGGTCTGGGCGAGGGAGTGGTTGAGGCTTGCTTCGTGAGCTCTGGAGGCTGCAGAGCTTTATTGATGAGTATTATCTTCAGCCTCATTTCCCTGTCTTGTCTAGCCCTCACAGTAAGTTTTGCACAGTGCATGCACTTCTGTGGGACATGCGCCTCTCCCAAACACTTAATGCATTCGGAATGGCCTTCCAAAGCCGGCATTGTGTGTCTGCATGTGACACACTTTTTAAAACCAGGGGAGCCCAGCATGACTGTTTCCTATCTATAATTAACTACCGAACGATAAATTTTTTTTTTGAAAAACAGTAACACTAAGCACTATAAGTCTATCAACACTAACAGTAAAACTAACTAATAACTATTAAACTTTATATAACTCCTGACAGGGTTTTGTGAGGAGAAGAATTTGCTCCTTCTGCAACTGCGGGCAGCGAAAAAGGAACTGGCGGGAGCCAGACCGCATGACATTTCAAAGGGCGCGAACAGCTTGCAGCCCGTGCTGCACATGCACGGTCCAGCTGACAGCTGCTCAGCAAAGAGCCGAGCTGCGGTGCTGAGATGACCCAGCAACAACAGTGGAGCATCCACAGGGACACCACTCAAAGAAGAATACAAGGTTATATGAAAAGGCTTAATACAAAGTCATATGAAAATGATACAAAGTTATATGAAGATGCTTAATACAGAGATTTATCTACAACAAGCTCTGAAGGACAGGACCCTTGCAGGAGTCAGCAATGAAGAGTTTGCTGAGGAGGGTTCTTGTGAACAATGCAGACATCGTGGATAGTCAAAAGAGTAAACTGAACCTAGATGAGTATAGCTTGGGTTGCCAGGTGTCCGGTTTTGAACCAGACAGTCCAATATTTGAGCTTTCTGTCCGGGAAACAAATTGAGAAAATACCAGACATATAAATGTCTGGTATTTTCTAATTAAGTAAGTTTCATTATTCTCATGAGTATCAGTACGTAGTTGCATACTGCCTGGCTGGTAGACACCCTCACACTGCGTTAGCATGTCTACCAACCAGGCAATACGCAACTATGCAGTCGAAAGGAGGGGGATGGGGGCCGGGGTGAGATGGAATCCCTCGGGCCAGACTTGCCCGTGTGCCCTGCCAGGACCGTGTGCAGGACAGGCAACACCCCGGGATCTGCGTGCGCTTGGGCCAGCCCCGCTTTCCACTGGCCAGTTCTCCCCTGCTCTTCCCCCCCCAG